AGGAAGAATGGCTGATCATACCTGACAGTTAAATAGCATTCTCTTATGGTATTAAGTCTGCAGAACTATGAATGCCAAAGAAAAATGTGGTACGTTTACTGGATAGCAATATGGAGTGACTGCCTTTCTATTCTTTAACCAAGTAGAGTGAAGCAATTCTGAAAATATCTAGCATCAAAAACAGGGGAAAGTTCTTTTGAGTTTTTAAATTTGCTTCGCCCACTATATTGCAAGATCATAGTACCCATATGAATTTATTAATAAATGCCATTGTTCTTTAAACATGTGCTTTAAAATGGCTTACTGCATTATATAGTGAATTTTAATAACCAAAATATCTTTGGTGAGAATATAAAATTACTGGTTTAAACTTGACTTACAAACAATTTAGATATACAGTTATTATACAGGAATGAGATACAGTGGCACTTACTTGTGATATGTTGGTACAACATCATGGAACAAATGGAAGATATTCCTCACTGAGTAGAAAAGCTGAACAGCACTAAGAGGAAAACACAGATTTAACAGAAATGCATAACAATATACTGAAAATGAAAAACAAATTCAAACTAAGTGCACCTTTAATAAACCAAAACTACAGCTGAAACTACAGTTGCAGAGAACATTTGCCTTGGTTATTGCTGGAAAACAGTTAATCTAGATGGAAATACATTTTCAACCAGTATTTACTAACTACTTTACCCTTCTAAAAACCTAGATCCATTAATAAGTTTAAGAATAGCAGCACTCAACCCAAAGCCTTTTTTCAATTTATCAATGTGTGTTCCACAAGTACCCAGAGTATCCCTTTAGTAACAAACGGAGCTAAGCCTCAAGCAAATGTCACCTACTCACCGGCGCGCTCTGCAAAGGGCAAAGTATCAATAAAGGCATTCACTTGGTTCTTTTGGAATCAGCCTGACTTTCAGCTTTCACCTTTCTCCTTCGTACCCTCAATGCAATGAGATGAATCAACATTTCTAGGGTAGAATCTAGCCCTCAAGTTTTTTGCCCTTTAAATCTGGCTTTAGAACACCTAAAGATTATTATTAAAATGCACTTAAAAAGAGCAAATATAAGGCTTGTGTAGCCTACCTCTATGTAAAAATATCTTAAACTAGGTACCCTGAATAATTCACTGGAACTCCACAAATATTTAGAAAAACAAGTCATGGTTACTATACCCTAGAACACTGTTATGACTTGATTACTGTGATACCTGATTATTTCATTCTATTTTTTGCTATATACAGGTTGCTGTTTAAGGTTTAAAATAGAGAAGGAAGTTGTACTGTAATTGTATTTTTGTTTGTCCTGTTAAAAACTATTTAGTGGAAAGAATCCCCATTGGCATTCGGTATTAAAAAATACTGTTTGGTGTTCTATGTTCTCCAAAATTATAAGAAATACTGCCCAGTGTCCCTAACTTCCCAGCCAGAATGGTCTGGTATATTTCGGAAGTACGCCTAGTGAAGAAATAGTCACTCCTATATTTACTTTGCCAAATGAGTATACATTTCTTTTTACATGTATTTTCCTTCCCACGGATAATTAAAACTGGACGGATTTATAATGATTAATGCCACATAAGTATCTCAGTAGATATGTGCTTTCTAGAGCAGAGTAAAATTAAGGGGTTTGTTTGCATGTGGAGATAAAAACTGAAACTCTAGAAGCCCATCTGAACATGCAACATGATTAAGTCAAATCCTAACTGAAATGGTTTTCTATTATGAGGATGAGAAATGAAAAACTGCTACAGAGAGATGCAAACTAAAGAGGTATAGATGTAAACCTGCTCTATAATCATCTTGGGCCACAGTCTGCCATTTTCTTCTCAATTTAGTCTAGGAGTAGGGAAGTTGCTTATTAAATAAAAACAAGTTCAGTAGGAGATGCAGAATAGAGTTTAGGTACCCAGATACAATGTAAATTAGAAGAAATCATCTTGAAAGGGTGAAGCTGGATCTCTGGTATGGTCTAATCTTTTCTTTCTACCTTTGGCTGCCCAACAAATTATTATTGCTCTAAAAAATAGACATTTAAAATGTAAATTAATTAAAGCCTGGATTTGAAAGAATCTTAGGCTAAAGCACCAGGGAAGGCTGAAGCAGATGGTGCAATATTAATATTACCACCACTACCAATAATAATAAACAATTAATTAATTATTCATTTTCCAGGTAGTATTCTAAGTACATGTGCTTTCTCATGTAGTATCATTCAATTCAAATAAAGAGAATACAAATAAAAATAATTAGGTTTACAATAAATAAGCTCTCTTTTATAACAGAAACAACAGGTGGGCCTAGTTAACAACGTCTCAACTGTTCAAAAATCTAAGCTGCCCAACAAATTTGTTTAAATTAAAGAGCTTTTTGTTAAAAAGTGATAAACAACAATTTTTAATGTCAAGAAACCCAACTGTCCCTCCATGCATGTGCTTCTATTTCTTATACCATGCTCTGACATGTATATGTTATTGTAAATAAAAGCTAGAGATTAATATAAGTTTGTATGCTGTACTGTGTTTTTCTAGGAAAAAAAAATGAACAGGATAAGAAAACCCAAAGAATTCCAGCTAATTTTCTTAATAAATGTCTAGTTTAGATATGCACTTAACAAAGTCATTGCCATTTTCAGACCACTCAGAATTCATACCATTGATCGCTACTGGTCGTTGCCTCTAATAAAGTCTGATAAGCGAGTTCCATTAATTTCTTCACAGATTCACTGATGCGGCATGTTGGCAAAGAAAAGGAATGTTGGTC